AGCAAGCATTTGGGAACCAGCAGTGCCAGATGTGAGAGGGATGTCCGACTGCCGGTTTAGCCCGATCCCCTAAACCGGCAGTCCAGACATCCCCTGAGGGGTCCCAGATTGGAGAGGGTGCAGGCTGGCTTGAGGGACACCCCCCCACCCCCCTGCACGAATTTCATGTACCGGGCCCTCTAGTTTAGACATAAAAAGACTACTCTTGGATCTACATCAACTGTATCAAGTAATTCTTTAATTCCCCCTTATTTATGCATTCTTTTACCATAAAAAATTCACAGCACACAATACTGATATTGCATTTTTTTTTGTCAGATCTACAATTACTGCTGAGAGTAGTTGGAAGACTGTTTATAGTTGACACCATGATAGACTTCAAATAATGTAAATATATATAAAGGGAAAGGCTTGATTGGAAAGTAATGCAGATAAAGATTTGAAAAACAAAGTATTTTAAAGATTAACTGAGGCTTTGTAAAAACTGCAACTGACATGCTAAGCCTGTCAAGCAGGCAATGAAAGATAGATAAATATATACATATATGTATAAACACCTACATGGATGTCTAGAAAGAGAGCACATACACATGCCCCAAAGTTTTGCTGATTATTTGTTCTTTTAGACCCTGAAAGATTTAGTTTCTTATACTCATTCTTGCTTAAGAGCTTATGGCAACAACAGGGGAATGGATTTTCTTCCATCCCTCCTGTTTTATAAAAGGAGAAGGAAACATATTCCCAAATGTGCCAAGTCTCTGCCTGCCAAGTTTCACCCTACAGTGAATTTTTATGGCTGGTTATTATAAAACCCAGCAACAAAATTGAGGTTGCATAACTGAAGCTTATCATGAAAAACTGAGGTTTACAAACAGACCGGGATGCCACTACTGAGGTAAACGGATCTAAGTATTAACACGTTGGGTTTTGCAGTGACCAGTGCATTAAGATCTCCTTCCTCAATGCTTTTTTGCCGGAGACCAATTCCAGCCTGTCATAATTTCAAGAGTTTCATCAAAAGGTTAATGAGACTTGGGGGACTGAACAGGGTTGAGTCACACATGTAGTCACCTGCTGGGAATGGCTGAAGGCATTTCCCCAAACTTGAATAGGATACATTAAACTGATTGCTGGCTGCCAGACAGATAAAAGGCATCTTAATCTACATATTATTGCCTCCTACTGGCCAAATACCTGAACAGCCGAAGGCTAATTCCCCTATTCTGACAATGGACTCTGTACTAAACCCTGACCCTTTGAAGTGTATATCTCTGCCTCACCTCAGGACAAATTGTGTTAATAAAAAGCATGGGGTCCTGGAGACAGGGAGAACCTAAGACCTTAGACTTAAGATCTTGGATCTTAGCTCCTTTAGCTAAGCTCCTCTGACCCCCAATGCCTTTCAAAATTATATCTCGTCTCCCGACTCTTTATTAGTCTCTGGATTCCTATTAAATCTACGCACAGCCTTCTCCAGATTCCTGAACCCTTCTTGATGCTGGGACAAGAACCCCAGCACTTTTTCTTTATGGAATGAAATGTTTCTCATTTGGGTCTCAATTGGAAGATGTCCTTGTTATCTAGCAAATTTCTGTAGAATGCTCAGCTACCTGTGAGCCAATGACATTTCCAAATGTAGATGACATGTGGAGATAATCCAACATCTGAATTCTGGCTATTCGGAATGTCTATGCAAATATTGTCAAAGAACTTAGGGCTTCCTACCTGCTCCACGGACATGGCTCTGGTCTCTGAAGAGTGAGTTGCATCCACATAAAACCCAGCGCCTGCTACGATGTGGACACCCGTCTCCTCTGCGAGCCACTTCAAAGTCTGCACGTCCCGGCAAATCCCTGTGGTCGTGTTCTCCACCATGGCCCCTCCACCGCTGGCTTTAAAATACAACAATTCTTCTTTGATGGCTTCCGTCTCCTGATTCAACTGAAGATTCTCTTTATGGGAATAAGGGTTTTTCCGAATCCAAAACAAATTTTTCATTATAATAGGTTCCTTCGAGATAGCTTCGTGAGGTGGAGGAGGTGGGCAGTAACAGCAGTCAAAGGTCATTGTCAAATGCTCATGGGTCAGGGTGCGGCCCAGTTTGCTTGGCTCCAGTAGTCCCAAAACAGTCTGGACTTTGCCACTTAAAGAAGACATTTCTGAGGGTACCAGGAGATGCTCTAAAAGGAGTATTTTCTGGAAAAAAAGGAAACTATAGTCAGAAAATTTAACACATACATAAATTCTTTCCATAGGGGACGGGAGGCTGTGAATGTATAACCCGTGTAAGAAAGAAATCAGTGAAACTAGAAATACGATCTCACTTATCATCCTGCCGCAGTCCGGGTCTGTCCCTGTAAATTGCGGGAGCTCACTGCAGCACTCAGTGACACGCATGGTGGTAAATGTCCCGACCACCTCCACCGGGACTCCTCTGCCTGATTAAATCCCAGCCTCATCTACTGGAAATATTTCTTGATATTCAATTCATATTTTTCTTTTGCTTAATTTTATCTCATTAGTCATAGCTATGCTTCCCTGGATAATGCAACAATAATCTCCATTTAAAAAACCTTTATAATCAATAACATATCAAAACCAGCCATCATGCATCAGAACTGTTTCATTTGTCATTTTCCAGCTAAATTAAATATACTGGGGCTACTGGTGATTCCATTATTCATTTACTGTCCAAAGGAACAAACTTTTGTTGAAGGTCCACCACGTGCCAGAAATTGAAGCTAGAAAGAGGAAAAAGACAAAATATCTGACCTTGATGATTTCACAGATTATTCCCCAAAAGACAACTCAGGGGGAGGAGGGGGACACCTAGGTTTAACAATGGAAAAACAAACAAACTTCTTCACTCTTGATGTTTTATTTTATCTATGGCACATAGAAACACACTTTGAAAATAAAGCTAAAAATCCTAGTCATAATGAAAGCACCTATGATTTATTGAAACTGAAATCTGCTCTCTCTAGAAAGAGTAAGTACCTCTTCATTTATCCTCTATTTACTTTAGTTTGTAACACAAGTTAAGTTTTCACCAAGTTTCTATCAGTAACAGCAAGAACCCCAACTGCAGCACTTCCATTTGAAAGCACCTTTCTGAAACAAAGGGATTTCACTCGGAAAGAAGCAGGCACTACTGGAAGTGGTGGCCAAGAGCAAACCCAGTGTTCCCTCCACACACAGCACCAACCAGACACAACAGAGGACAGTGAAAAAACTGACTGGGAACTGCGGGAAAGTGCCTTTGGAAGCTCTCAAATTGTCCTTTTAGAAGACATTCTGAAATCACTTTTCCCCACATCCTTCTGAGGACCTTCTCTGGCTTTCTGAGCATCAGTTTTCTCATCTGTGAATCAGAATAACAATGCGCATTTCATAGGCTTTCATAAGAATTAAATTAGATACCAAAGACCAGTGGTCAGCAAACTCATTAGTCAACAGAGCCAAATATCAACAGTACGATTGAAATTTCTTTTGAGAGCCAAATTTTTTAAACTTAAACTATATAGGTAGGTACATTGTTATTAACTTAATTAGGGTACTCCTAAGCTGGCCTTTGCTAACAATATCCTCAATCTGAGGGGTCGACCTCAGCAAACGTACCCCCACTTCTTCTAACGCCACTTCTTCAAAATAGACTCACCCAGGCCGAAAACCGACTTCTGCACATAGGCCACGAAGTTTCAATCGCACTGTACGTGCGTGCCCGCACGTGGTATTTTGTGGAAGAGCCACACTCAAGGGGCCAAAGAGCCGCATGTGGCTCATGAGCCGTGGTTTGCTGACCACTGCCATAGACAGAAAGACATGCAAAAGTGCATAGCACACATTGGATAAATAGTAGCTCTGTTTTGCTAGTTCAAAGAACAATTATGTGTGTCTAGGTTATTTCTTTTCAGAGGGAGTGGTTGATTAGACAGGCGATCATTTGGGGGAGCAATGGGTACAGGACAAATTTGTAATGGGCACAGTGCATATAAAAGGGCAGAGCAGGACTGACTCCATTTTGTACTGTGCCCTCCATCTTGTGTAGCCTTGTCCCCGACATGACCCCTTCTCCAAGAAAAATCACAGAATGCGTCAGTTACCCAGCCCACCCTTAAATCAGCCAATGGGAATGCACAGGGAGATAACCTAAGGCCAAAAGAATGCTAACTGCATCCCATCTTTGTGTAACTACTAGACCCTAGCCCTCACCCAATTTGTGTAACGGGACCCTAGCCCTCACCCAACCAATCGGAATCAGCCAACTCAGTGGTCCAAGCATCGCCCCACCACCCGACCCCAAGCCCTATAAACTTGCTATACTTCTGGGACTCCGGGCTCTTTGCATGCTGCCGCTGCGTCGGTAGGGGCGGAGAGACCGGGATTGAGCTTGAATAAAGGTTCTTTGCTTTTGCATCGGACTCGGCTCCTTGGTGGTCTTTGGGGATCTTAAAATCTGGGCACAACACATACATAAGGCAAGGTGAAAACAAGTCAGGGGTGGAGAAAAGGGAGTAGTGAGATAAAGTTCAATTACATCAAGCCACTGCAATTATCTGAAACCCAGGTGTTTGATACATATTGACCCACAATGTGTAAATGATTGATTGAGACCATTTAACAGAGAACTTTAGAGCTTGGGGCTAGCATGGACATTTGTTTTGGTTGATAATGGTCTTCAGCAAGACACGCTCCCAATATCTAAATAATTTTCATGGTGATGAAACAGGAATTTTAGGGGAACATAGGCAGGTTTAGGGACTTTTTAGAATAGGGGTCCATGCAAAAAAACATAGGGCTATAGACAGGGAGAAGGTACATCTCCATAACACATGGAAGCCAGGGGCGGTTACATTTCCATAAGACAAGGGAGCAGCTACAGGTATATTTCCATAAGACAAGGGAACTGAGAGTAGCCAAAAAAGGTCTATATTTACAAAATAAAGAAGAAAGAAAGCCCAGAAGGAATAAGAGGACAATGAGGGAGGAGAGCCTCAGGAGTTACTATAGTAACCAATTCGGAAAGGGAATATTGACCAATCAGAAGGGATATCAGGGCACAGGAACTTTATAAACATGGAAACTCAGTGGGACCCATTCCCTCTCCCTACTTGGGAGTCTGTACTTTTCTTTAATAAATTTCCACCTTTGCTATACCACCTCTGTCCGTGGATTCATTCTTCGACTTCAGCGGACAAAGAATCCGGGTTCCAGTCCAAAAATTCCCTATCAGTGATCAGGATGAAAGAGGATGGTATCTGTTTAGAGAACTACTATGTAGCTGCCTGTCACTTCACAGGACATAGTTTTCATTGATGATGTCGAGGAACTGTCTGTTCAATACTGCCTATTCCCTGTTCCTGAGAGCAAAGTCTGCATAGCTAGTTCCTTCAGTTGATGAAACCACAGTACAATTAATAATCAACTCACTCTTCTATGAGAGTTCATTTGCTCTTTCCTTCCTTTCGGCTGACGTTCTTGCACATGTGCTCCTAGAGAGGGTCACTGGGGGGCTGAAACTTGAAAAAATTGATAATACACCATCATTTTTCCTAGAAGAGTACCAAACTGCATATTCAATTGATAGAAATTTGAAAGAGCAAGGTTGGTAAGTTTTAAGCTCACAAGCTGTGAGTCTTTGTGGAAAAAACACACAAAAAAACACCTTCAGAAAGGTCATCTCTTCTGGGAATTTCCTGCAAACGCTCTCGGGCAGGATGCGCTGTTGCTCTATGATAAGACACAATGTGTACAGAACAAGCCGTAGCCACCAGACTCTAAGCTGGACTGTGTCTTTCAGTCGGATAAGATAGAACTCACGGTCACTGTGCAGCGAGGGAGCTGTCTTCCCACCACAGCCAGCCTGGGAGTGGCGCTCTTCTCAGTGCACAGGCCAAGCTGTTAGCGACCTGCCTCCTTAGAGATGAGAGTTCACAGACAAGGAGGGCAGTACTGGGCAACGAGAGCTGCAGAACACAACTGCGCAGACAGGAGTGAATCCCACCCCCCAACCCCCTTCTAATTCTAGGGGGTGTAGACTTGTTATGGGTGGGGCGCTCTCTGTGTCCCCACCTGTTGCCGGTGGAAGGGGCTTCTTGTGATGTCACAAGTAATTTTCTAAGACTCGCATGGGAGAATGAATATTTATTTGCATGGAATTAAACCCCTGCATTTCCAAGGCCCCCCTCCCTTTGTCCTAGCATGGAAGAAGTCCAGCTATGTCTTCAGCAGAGCTAGGATTAAAGTAACTGCCCCGAGTCTCCATTCAAAATTGGCACATTCCAGTCCAGCATGTGGCTAGATCAGCCTGTGTTCCCAGCTGCAGTCCCTTGCGGGTGGGGTCTGCATGCAGCTTCTAGGGCCACATGGCTATAGAGGGAGCATAGCTGAGTGCACGAAAGCAGGAGCAAAGCCAGAGGAACAACAGAGAGAGAACTCCTTTGTCTGGGGATTATGTATTCCCCAATTTTTGTGGGCTTGCATTCGCTTCACCCCTCTAGCCAATGATCTTTGTTCCCAGGTTAGACTAACAGGCAATCACCTTCCCTACATCACCGGACTTCATTGCTCAGGCACCCATTTCCCCCTTTGTTCTAACCCTTTCTGCAGTGATTTGCAGGGAATGGACTGCCGGTTCCCTGGGGAGTATAAAGTTGCAGCTTCCTGGTGAAGCTGCCCAGATGACCATGGTTATAATGTCAGCTCCCTTTGCTCCTTCCTACTATAAATACATAGCTAATTACAACAGTAAAAGAATAAAAAAAACATAGACCATTTAAAAAAAAGAGCAAAAAAAGAAGAGAATCAGAAAACAGCACTGAACTGAAAACCAGAGACAATATGTAGGCTTTGTCATTTTTAAAAATACGTGCATGAATTAACTTTTATAAACTATGGAAATTTGCCAAGTTGGAGATTTGTTGGTGGGTGGATAGTCTGGAGGCGACTTAGTTTCACTGAGATTTCATCCTGGTAATTATGCTTACAATTTTTATTTCTACTTGGGTCGAATATCCATGTCGTTTACATTTCACATTTCAGAGGCTAGGACTTCCTGAATATCTTTCATATGAATGAGTGGAATTCATGGACATCTGCTCTTTTCCCGCCCCTGCCTCTGCTGCATCCAGTCCCAGACCTGGTTAAAGGACCCTGCTTTACAGTTTTAAATGCGATGGTCAAATTGGCAAGTTGAT